GGGGTCGGGGCCTGCAGTACCTCATCGATTGGGAGGGGTACGGACCGGAGGAGCGGTCCTGGGTTCCCTCCCGTCACGTCCTGGATAAGACCTTGATCCGGGACTTCCATCGCCTGCATCCTGAGCAACCTGGTGGAACGCCGGGAGGCGTTCCTTGAGGGGGGGATCTGTCACGAATCACGTCTGTCAGTTAGGTTTTTGTGTCACTCTGTTCACTTGTTTTTGTTCTGGGGATCTATTCTTTTGCTTTTCTCTTTCTCTGCATGTGGGTTGAGGTTTGTCTTCACTCCTAGTTTAACGTTGTCTTCACTGCAGCCAGCAGCGCTGATTGCGCTCAACTGGCTGCACCTGTCTTCCTCTCCCTTTATAAGCTCACGGCTGACTCTTTTTCGGTGCCCGGTAGTTGAACACTTTCAGTTAGTAAATACCTCGCGCTCATGACCACGCTCTGTCCCTGTCCTGTCCTCTCAAGTCCTTGTACTCCTGTTTTCCTCGTTTCTGTCCTCCCGTCGTTTCTGTTCCCTTCCTCTCGGCTCGACCTCCCGGCTTCTGGACCCACGGACCTCCTGACTTCGTCTCTCGTCTGCTCCATTGGATTGTCTCGGCATCTGATCATCGGTTCTGACCCACGCCTGCTCGACCACGTCTCTCGGATCATCCCCACCAGCTCCACTCTCCACCACTCGCTTGTTTTGGATCACGCTCGGTGCTGGAGACACCAACTTGTCCTGCAGACCTCGCTGCAAGCTACAGCTGCTGCCGACTGTCGTCTCTCACCAGACCCAGCTCCTCCAGCAGTCATCCGGGTCAGCTGGACCCGCTTCAGCGCATCAGAACCCCCATCATCACTGAGACGGTTAGTGGTTGTTTTTTCATCTGACTTTGTCTTCACTCTCGTCACCTGCACAACCACTAACCGTTCTCCATCTTTAGACTGTTCGTGCGGATCGGTGATTGGAACCTGGAACCGGTCCACAGTCTGCGACAGCTTGCCGAGGTCCACCCTGCCGTTTCATCATTTAATAAACTTTATTAAATTGATTTCTTGTGGTGGTGATTTTGGTCCATTAAACGGGGTTCGTTACACATTGTTAGGCTGATGGTCCTTCTTGAGCATGTAATCAGCTGGTTTTGGTTGTCAGCAGCAAACTGGTTGATCCACGCTGAGAAGGTGCTATTTAAGAGACTGAGCTGAATACAGCTCCTCAGACTGAGGAAGTCTCTTGGATAAGAGACGAAGCGTTTCTAGATTTTTTTTTGCTTTTTTTTGTTTTTTGTTTTTTTGAATGTCCAGAGGACCAGATTGAACTTTTTGGGAGTATTTTTAGCAGTTACATAGGGTGGCTGATTTCAGGAACAGTTATAAACTTAAATGATATTTTGAGGGTTAAATATATACTTTAAGTTTGTTGCTGAACCTTTTCTCTAACATTTGCTTATGTTGTTAGTTTCAAGTGATTATCAATCAACCTTTATTTAGACAGGTAAATCCCATTGAGCCTCGAGGATTCATTTATAAGAGAGACCTGATTTCAACAAAGAAAGATGACAACAATGGACAACAGCAACAACAATAAACAATTATAAAAAGTCATACTGCAGGGTTTTTTTTTTTTTTTGTTTGTTTTTTACAAATAGGATGGCTAAAAGGAAAAGGTAACCAAAAAAAAAAAAAAAAAAAAAACCCAGCTAGATTCTAAGGCGAATGTAGAAAACTAAAAACAGGAACATGTCTGCATTGGTCCCTGCCAGGAGTCCAACAGATTAGTAAAGCCACTTATAGAGGTCAAGGTCGAGAGCTTCAAATCTTTTTGTAAGATATTCCAGGAAACAGGAGCGGAGTAGGAACTGCCCTTTTGCCTAGTTCAGTCCTCATTGAGGGAACACTGCAGGTAATAATGTCCTGAGAGCGCACTCCGTAGCTGCACTCACGCAGAGACATGTAGGAGGAGATGTATGAAGGCAACAGACCAAAAATTGATTTAAAGATGAAAATGTACCAGTGAGAGAGTCTGCGTGAAGTTAATGATGTGCAGTTAACCAGTGAATACAGGGTGCAGTGGTGAGTACGATAATCACAGCCAGTTATGAATCTTAGTGCACCATGATAGACAGCATCCAACATCTGCAGGGTTCTTGTAGGAGCGTTCATGTAAATAATGTCACCATAATCAATTGAGGGAAGGAAAGTCACAGATACAAGGCGTTTTCTAGCATTCAGGGTTAGTCAGGATCTGTTTCTGAAAAAGAAACCCAGTTTAACTTTCAGTTTCTTTACCAAGTTTTCCACATGGAGCTTAAAAGAGAGATGTGAGTCGACCAAGATACCCAAATATTTATAGGAATCAACAAACTCAATGGGGACACCATTTGAGGATAAAATCGGAGGAAGAACTGCTGGGACCAACTTCCTATTTGAAAAAAGCATCCCTTTGGTTTTGTTGGCATTTAGGACAAGTTTGAGGTGAAACAAATCTGTCTGGATGTAGTTGAATGCAGATTGCAAAAGCTGGAAACCCTTAGCAACAATTTTAGCTCGACAATAAACAACTGTGTCATCAGCATAGAAATTTATGGATGCATCAGGGATGTTTTTACCTACATTATGTATGTAGATTGTAAAGAGGGTGGGTCCTAAGACTGAGCCTTGTGGTACACCATTGTTGACTGTAAAATAACTGGAGGAAGTACCATTATGTTGAACACATTGCCTCTGGTCTGAAAGATAGTTAGAGAACCAACCAATGGTGTGTTCTGAGAAACCAATTTCTGATAGTTTATGACACAAGATGTTATGATGCTCAGTGTCAAAAGCTTTAGACAGGTCTAAGAAAAGTGCAGCACAATAATCCTTAGCATCCAGTGCTTCAACAACATTATTAAGAACCTTCAGTGAGGCAGTGGTTGTGCTGTGTTGTTTCCTGAAACCAGATTGATGTGGAGGTAAGATGTTAAATGAGTCCAGGTAATTTTTGATTTGAGAGTTTATCAGTTTTTCTAGAACCTTGGCTAAAATGCAGAGTTTAGAGATTGGTCGATAGTTGTTCAGTAAGGTGGGGTCACCTCCCTTAAGCAAAGGAAGAACAAAGGCTGTTTTCCAAGTGTCTGGGATGGAGTTTTGTCTTATGGAGAGATTGAAGATGTGGGTCACAGGGACTGTGATGATATGAGCAGCCAGCCTTAAGAAATAAGGTGGAAGTTCATCTGGACCTGCAGAATTATTTTTACAGAATTATTACAGAATTATTACAATTATTCGGTGTTATAATAACAGTTTTTTTACTTTGTTCTTTTCAAGGCAATGCTATTGCTCACCAGCTTTGTCTGTTTTTTTATGTTATACAGGAAAGAAAGGTGTTGCTGTATTTGACCAACTGGCATGTGCAACACAAAACAACCATCTAATCTGTCAATACTGGGGTTTTAAGTTTGGATGAAAGGGGGACAGTGACATCATAGTTTTTTTAAAAGGTTGTGTTTATGCTGTTCACACAAAAACATCCATCAGTATGTGTTTTAAAGACTTTCTCACATAGGAAAATACCATTTAGGAGCTTCACAAACACTGTTCCAACGTGGTCAGGATCTAGAACTCTTTCCAGTAATGTGGGCTACTACCTCATCCATCCATCCATCCAGCCATCCAGTCATCCAGCCATCCAGCCATCCATCTATTATAGAAGAACAGAAACAGCCTTTATTGTCTCACGGATGGGAAACTCAAGTGTAACGGCAGCAACAAATAAAAATATATACACAAAAAGTTCCTAAAATGTTAAAAAAACAATATATAAAGAAATAAGATAAACAATAACAATAACAATGTTGTATGGAACATTGAGAATGGCAGGCTATTTACAGTACAGTATTATAGGTAGCATGTGTGATTGAGCAAAGGTCAGCATGGATTTAATCCTTATTGAGTTTGTTGGGAGCAGTGATGGCTATAAAGTCTTATCTTATCTTATTATCTTTTTCCCACTCCTTCCTTTTCGGGTCATGTGTGTTACTGGTGTTGCTGGTGTCCATATCCAGTTGTGCGAGAGGTGGGGGACACCCAGGATGTCCAGGACAGGTCGCAAGCCCATCACAGGGCCACATATTTATTTTTATTTAAGCTTTATTTATACAGGTAGTCTCAGTGAGTCACGAGGATTCATTTTCAAGAGACCTGTTTGGGAGCAGATGGTGGGGGTTAAGGACCTTGATCAAGGGCCCAGTGGGGCAAATGAGGGTGGAGGGCCTCAGGTGTGGGTGTTCCACATTTTCCACCCACATTTTGATATTGTCACATTCCGGAGAGTCTAACCGGCGACCTTCTGATCACAGGCCCACCTTCCTCTGCACCACCACACCCGAGACAAACATGGAGACAAATGAGACAATCCTTCACTCTCACTCACACCTACAGGAAATTATTTTGTAAAGGTTGTCAAAATGTCAGAATGAAGACATAATATACTGATGGTGCTAAGTCTCTTATAATCTGTCAGAATGACATTTATTTACTAAAAACAAAAATAGTATTTTGGGGCACTCTAAACCGAAGGGCCCATGGTTTCCCACTTCAGTAAGACCTTTGGAAAGTTTGGCTTTTCATTTTACTTGTCAAACTAAAAAAAAATACACTATTTAATTTGATGTTGTAAGGACTATACAGAGAAGAAATGCATTTCCAGCAGACAATATTTTCATTGAAGAAAGTTAAACCTGTTTCTTTCTTAAGTCTAGTCTTCAGGTCAGGTTCACTGAAGTTGGTATTTTTCCACTGAACTAAGACAGATTCATTTAAATATTCATATTGTCCTCCCAGCCCCTCCCTCTTCGACCGGACCCACATACCACGCCTACTCCCGATTAGACCCACAGACCACGCCTCCTGCTCTACCTTCCCTCCTCCTCCAGCAGACGGAGCTCAGTGATTTAAACTCGGTGGTTAGAATTCCTGGGCAGGTTGTGACGCTTCCGTGGTCCTGGTCCAGTTGGTCAGTTCGGCAGACATGGAGAAAGATGTTCGGGATAACTGGGAGAACCCCACGCAGTTCATCCTGGCCTGTGTTTCATATGCAGTAGGTCTGGGGAACGTCTGGAGGTTCCCCTACCTTTGTCAGATGCACGGTGGAGGTAAGACCCGAAGCTGTTCAGTCCAGTTCGGTTCCTACAAGAATGCGTTTCTAAAGTGTTGTTAAAGTCAGATTAAAATCAGATTAATTTAGAACAAACTGACTCTGAGCAGCTCCCTTTTCAGACTTTCAGTCAGTTCATCAGAAGAACTGAAGATAAATTCAGTCATAAATGTGAAACTTGGTGTTTTAAAGATTAAAAGTGAATCATCTGGAGGTGTTTGTTTGTTGTGACCCACTGAGAGTGGGCTTCGTCCTCCGGCCCGGGGGGAACTTGTGTTACAGTAGGAGGTCTGTTCTGTGGTAAATTTCCATGAGACCATTGTTGTCTCATACACACGTTCCTCAATAAAGACAAGGCACACCATCAGCTGCACACACCACCAAGTTGGGGTGTTTGTTCAGATATAATCTTGTCAGTATGAAGACACAATTGATGAACACTGAAGAGAGTCAGACTTAGTTCAGGAGTTTCTCTCTACAGGGAAAATTCAGAGACTTTATATAAAGATTGATTATTAAACTACTGGCAGTAAAATTCTTCAAAGTAAATCATTAGACCAATTATTTGATCCTTAAACTGATCCCAGAACAGTATGAGCAGTCACTGTTGTTATTAAAGGAAATTATTGATCATTGATTATTAGATTAATGGTAGGAACTGATTCTTAAACAGAAATGTTGGCTCAAACAATGAGGAACGGGGTGTGTGTACGTGCTTGTGTCATAAAGGAAAATGCAGACAGTATTTGTAAAGTGGACAAAGAAACAGGAATTCAGTCAGATTTAAGTTTTAGACTGATACTAATTATTTTGCCCGTATGATATTACTCTTGGGCAGCAAGGTGGCACAACTGGTAGAACTGCTGCCTCTCAGCGAGCAACCCTGGTTCAAATCTTGGTCTGGGGGCCTTTTTAGGGTCAAGTTTGCGTGTTCTCTCCGTGCATGCGTGGGTTTTGTCCGTGTACTCCAGTTTCCTCCCACAGACCAAAAACATGCATGTTAGACTGATAACTCTAAATTGTCCCTAGGTGAGAGAGAGAATGGTTGTTTGTCTTGTTTGTCTATGAGTCCCTGTCATGGACTGGACCTGTCCAGGTGTCCCCCGCATATCGCACAGTGATGAATGGACATGGGAACCAGTGATCCCCTACGACCATCCATCCATCCATCCATCCATCCATTTTCTTCTGCTTATCCGGGGTCGGGTCGCGGGGGTAGCAGCCTAAGTAGGGAGGCCCAGACTTCCCTCTCCCCAGCCACTTGGGCCAGCTCTTCCGGGGGAATCCCGAGGCGTTCCCAGGCCAGCCGAGAAACATAGTCCCTCCAGCGTGTCCTGGGTCTTCCAGCCAGCTTCTGTAGCCGAGGATCAGACCGCCAGGGTCCCCGCCCTCGGCCACCACCCATCCCACATTGCACCCGACCCCTTTGACCCCTCCCACAGGTGGTGAGCCCATGGGAAGGGGGACCCACGTCTCCTCTTCGGGCTGTGCCCGGCCGAGCTCCATGGGTAAAAGCCCGGCCACCAGGCGCTCGCCCGCGTGCCCCACCTCCAGGCCTGGCTCCAGAGTGGGGCCCCGGTGACCCACGTCTGGGCAAGGGAACACTAGGTCCATTTATTTGTGTCATCATCGGGGTCTTTGGGCTGCACTTTGTCTGGTCCCTCACCTAGGACCTGTCTGCCAAGGGTGACCCTACTAGGGGCATAAAGCCCCTGACAGCATAGCTCCTAGGATCATTGGGACACTCAAACCCCTCCACCACGGTAAGGTGGCAGCCCAGGGAGGGGCCCCTACGACCCAAAAATGAAAAAGCGGGTAATGATAATGTATGGATGGATGTATATTACTCTTATATTTTACATTTGGCACAGTTATACAAAACTTGTACCATAATTTTCACTGTATAAGTCACTAGGGGTGCACGGATAAATCGGCCGGCCGATCGATCGGCCCCGATTTCCTTAATTTGGGGAGATCGGTGATCGGCCGATCTTTAAATGAGAAGCCGATTTTATCCACCGATCGTATCTGCCTCCGGAAAGGTCTGAAAATCAGCTGCTGTCCCCTTTTGCTCCACTGTGAGAGCTCACACACAGGTCACTCAGAGCAGCCATGTCGTCGGTTTGGAAGTTCTACGCTGTAAAAGAAAATGAGCCAAAGATCGCAATTTGCAATTCGTGTAAAGCCAAAGTAAGTCGTGGTGGAGCCACCACCAAAACCTTTAATACAACAAACCTTGTTCGCCATTTAAGAAATCACCACGCCGCCAAGTATGCAATGTTTGAAGAGAGCAACCAAGCTAAGGCTAATGCTAAAGCTAGCGCTAACAAAGAGGCAGTCGGTGGGTCGCTGTTAACTTTTATGAGCAACAAAAAGAGCAAAGCTACCACGAGGAAAGTGATGGAGTTCATGGCATTAGACGACCAGCCATTTTCATTCGTTGAGGACAAAGGTTTTAGAAGCTTGATGCAGCACGTGTGCCCACGATATAATATGCCGAGTCGGAAATATTTTTCTGATGTTGTCACGCTCAGCAGCCCCCGCTGCCCCCCCCCATCTGCCTAAGCCTCTGTTCCTCATATCACAGCCCCTGTTTTAAGATCATTCACGTTTTTTCCTGCCTCAGTTTCTGTTTATTTCATCCTGTTTGGTTCTGCACTGCCTATCACCCATTTTCTGCTCCTGTCACTCTCTCTCAGCAATCTGCACTCATCTGCTGCACCCTGTCTCTGCAATCACCACTCACCTGCCACACCTGTTCAGCTCACTACTTAAGCTCCACTCTCACTCTCCTCAGTGCCAGATTATTGAAAGCCTCACAGCCAGTAAATTATCCAGCATTCGCTTGTTCCTAGTTTTTTCGTTTTTGACCACAGCTTCCCTCTTTACTCCTCGCTTTGACTTTGCCCCTGTCTGAATACCACGCTCTCGGCCTACATGGTACAACTTCGCTCTCCTCTTCGACCACGACTACGGATCATCCTTTTGCCTGTTCACACAGCTCCTGGCTCTCGACCCCTGCTACGTCCCTGGATTCTGTTTCCTGCCCAGCCCTCCAACGTTCTCTGTCTCAGCTCTGCTCCTGCCACAGAAGGTTAGTGACGTGCACACCACCTCTCAGCTCCCAGAACCTTTTTGCAGTCACTAACCTGTCTGTCTTCATAGATTGGACCAGAACTGAGGCTCAGATCCTTCAGACGAACGCCTTTAATAAAATAAAACCTTTTATTTTAAATTTGTCCTGAGTCAGGTGTTGTGCCGATCCATACAGACTCGTTACAGATGTTGCATTAACGGAGTTGTTCAGCCAAGTTTCGAGAGACACCCGCAGCCTGCTAAAAGCTAATACAAATACACTCAGCTTTACAACAGACATCTGGACTTCTGATGTAAGTTTAATGTCCATGTTAAGTTTTACTGCACAGTGGATTGACGAACAGTTCGAACGTCATCAAGTACTCTTAAACTGTAAAGAAATGGCGGGGTCTCACACTGCGGCCAATTTATCAGCAGAGTTTAAGGCGATGCTGAATCACTGGGAAATCGATAATGGAAGAGTTCACGTTGTTTTACGGGATAATGCTCGTAATATGGCCAAAGCGCTGGATGATATCAACCTGAAAAGTTTACCCTGCCTGGCACACACACTGCAACTGGTTGTAAATGAGGGAGCATCACAGACATGGTGGCAACAGGAAGGAGAATTGTTGGACATTTTAAGCATTCATCACTTGCCTATTCCCAACTTTATGACATACAGACACAGTTAGGTCAACCCAGGAAACGATTACAGCAAGACGTTTCAACGAGGTGGAACAGCACAGTCTACATGCTGCAGTCGCTGTTGGAGCAGAGACGTGCTATTGGCGTATATGCTGCTGAGCATGAGTTACCAGAAACGCTCACAGCACACCAGTGGGAGCTACTGGACAATGTGCTCACCATTCTTGCACCTTTTGAGGAACTCACAAAGGAGATTAGCTCATCAACAGCTACAGCAGCAGATGTCATCCCAGCCATCACTGCACTCAAGCGGATTTTGGAGAGGCAAGTGAGCACAGACCGTGGCGTGGGTACAGCCAAAGCTACATTGCTGGAGGCTGTTGTGAGAAGATTCAGCAACATTGAGCATGAGCCCCTGTACAGCTTGGCCACTGTTCTGGATCCAAGGCAAGTAACTATTAACATTCTATTTTAGCCATAATTACTTTTAGCCTACTACTATATTTCAACAAACATTTAAATTAAATTAAAAATAAAAATTTCTTGATTGAAATGCATTTCTTTATTTACATGCAAGTCATAAAAACTGTTAATGTAAACAAAACACAATGATTGACCCTTCTTTCTTTGTTTATGCAAAACAAGGTACAAGAATCGCTACTTCTCAGCAGAGGTGAAAGATGACGTGAAACTGCTCCTTTTGACCAAACTTGCAGAGGGGGAGACCAGATGCACACCTGCTGCAGGAACATCCTCTGAAGTGGGACCTCCTGATATAGATGAACCTGCAGCCAAAAGGCGTAGTCTACTGTTTGCAGCTCACAACGAAATCTTGAAGGAGAACATTGAACAGGAGCAACAGCTGGCCAGCCCTTCAGCTATGCAGGTACAGAACTACCTATCTGAGGTTCCTGTCGAAAGGAGCCAGGACCCATTGGTCTACTGGAAGATCAATGAAAATCGTTTCCCTCATCTTGCTCTATTTGCCCGAACCTATCTCTCTGCCCCATGCACAAGCTTTGAAAGCGAGCGCCTGTTTAGCTTGGCTGGACATGTAGTAGATGCGAAAAGAAGTCGCCTGTCTGGTGACAAAGCAGAAATGCTTTTGTTCATCAAGAAAAACCTGCCACTAATGAAAGTGACTGGAATAAGTCTGTGAGAACTAACTTACCTGTGCCAGTGTTATTTCTTATTACCCACTGACTTGAAAATGTTACACTTGTTGCTTTATCTTTTTAAGTTTTTTTTTTTAATGTGAAAGAGTTGAAGGAACTG